CTGTTATAGTGTATGGGTATTCCCCATCTTTTCATTTTGTTTATGATTATAGCTTCCGCATAGTTTCTATTATTCAGATTATATTTAGTATGCTCATAATCATGCCAGCAGGGTTAGCTTGGGATCACTTGTGGTCCTAGGTCCCGTGTCCGCGTCTCGGGGGTAGTCTCGGGGCGTGACATTTAGCTAGTGGATCTACTTAGCATAGTTAGCTTCCTATATCACGGCAAGGTATAGGATGGTCCTTGGGCAACGTGAGGTAAAACGTTGTACCACCACTCAGTTTCCTAGTGGTGGTTATCGGTTAGAGAAACTCCCACAGTAGAAAATTGCATGGTTCCTCGAGGGGTTCTGCTTTGTATGGATGGGGGTATGGGACTTCATTCATGCATTGCACAAGTAGACTTTAAGAGGAAGCATGGTATTTATGATATTATAAATATGATTTTGACGTCACGTTTTAATAGTTTTACAAGCTTTATATATTGCATGTGTCTTATTGCTTTATATATTGGGTTCAGTCTTTCATGAGTTGAACAGAGCCAAGGTAAGTATTCTCTTGTATTCCTTTCAAGCTTAAGTTGTGGTTTAGCTTTCCAGCTCACATACTCGTACATTCCATGTACTGATGCCAGTTGGCCTGCATCTATTATGATGCAGACACAGGTACCCAGTATCAGCATCCAGCACGCCGTTGATCCAGCTGAGCACTCCAGAGTCAGTGGTGAGCCTCTTTGCTTTCCGGAGGACTCAGTCATTTTGTTCCCTTAGTTTTGTTTTATTAGGATGTTGCGGGGTCTGTCCCAACATCCATCTCAGTATTAAAGAGGCTTCATAGACAGTCAGTCAGTTAGTTTTGAGTCTCTCATTTATGTATATATATAATATTCCATTTTGAGACTCGAGTTGTCTTTTTGGCTAGATTTTATCAGTTGGTTGTTTTATAACCCTTCTTTGCATTGAGTTGTGCTGTTGAGTTAAGTTCCGCTGAGTTAAGAAAGTCAGGCCAAGGGTTCGCTTGAGGGCCAGCAATGGTCTTCGAGTGCCGGCCACGTCCAGGGTATAGGCTCGGGGCGTGACACTTAATTCAGATTCGTGTCGAGAGGTCTCACATCGAGGGTAAAACACTTTCGAACAAGGACTAGTCAATAATCAAGGCACAAACTCAAAATAATCAAAGCTTTCAAGAGTTCTTCTAGGATCGTATCGCCATGCTTTAACCTTTTATCAATTTAAAAGGTGATTATTCTCCTCCTTGTCAAAAGTTCATACAAGTAACTAGTAATTGTTTTACGAGTATCTTTCACCTCCCAGTAGTCAACTAGTACATTTACATTGAATATTAGTCGTCCATAGTAAGTAGTAGGAAATTTCTTCACGCCTTCCACACTTGTATATTTGATTGTGACACATGGATTAAAGTGCTGACAATTGTGCATGAACTTGACGAATTCCAACAAAAATTGGGAAAAGGTCACCCAACTCTAAAAAGCACAGTGTGACAACTAAAAAGAAATGAAGGCATGGGAGTCATGCGCCTTACAAGGTGTGGCCTCACACGTGCCTTCCTTTTTACATTGTTAACCGCGTTAAAAGTTTCGGGGTAAGGTGTTGGGATCATGTGCCTTTATCCCTTTGCTCTTTAATTTTTTTTGTTGTCCTTTTGAAATTTTGGCAAAAAAAAACGTGTCCTTTAGGCTCTGAACTACAAAATGGACAGCTAAAAGTACAAGTGGATGAAGCTTCAAAGAAAAAGAGTCCCAAATGAGAAGAAACAAAATTTTAGGAGATGTTAAATGGAATTATTGTAATGGGTGGAGCCACTCTAGGTGAAGGGTGGTTTGGTGCACACACATCGCTAGAAAATTATGTGGTATATCGAGATTAAATCTTACTCTGTTATTTCAAGTGTATATTTAATTTTTTACACACTTAACATAACTAAGAAAAATATTTGCACACCTCTCGCTAAATTCCTAACTCCGCCACGGAATTTATTGCTCCACAAGTACAAACACCAACCTCCCTTTATCTTGTCTACCAAAAATTGATTGAAAATTGTCTTTAATTTCACAGTATGCAGACGACTTTGACTTTAAAAAATCTACTTGAATGGAAGATGTAATTATTGCTATTTTTTCAAAAACTTTTTGTGTCTAGTGCAATTTTTTACCATACATTCTAAAAGCCCACCAAAAGATGTGGTGGAGCGGATGGGGCTGCTCCTCACTTAATCAGAGATTTTGGGTTCGAATCCTAAATATGAAAAAATTCTTAGTAGGGAGCGACAACAGATAAAAAACAAAAAAAACAAAATAAAAAATACACATTCTAAGAAATTTCAGATCCACAAATCCAATGGGGTTTTAACCATACATTTATTACTGATTTGAATCTATCACAATTGAATATAAATGGGTACGTTTCACCATCTCTTAAATTTCTATTACTCCTCGATAGATCAATGTTGTTAATTTAATCAGCAAATAGGGTGAACTTAATAGTAAGGAGTAATAATTGCTAGTAATTATTTAATTCTTCTGAATTATGGTTATGGACCCACTATCCATCTGCACAAAGAGAAATTGGACCATACGTATTTGTATTTCAGAATATATCTAGTATCTTTGATACATGTATTAGACTTGATATCTAAAAGAATGGTGTATCTGACTTGAAATTTGGCTAAAAATTATTAATTAACAAGACACTATGTAATTTATTATAAAGTGAATTAATATTTATGGTAGAAACTATGAACTATAAAGTAAATTAGACTTGACTTCGCAATGAATTGATGAAGTCAAGTCATGTTGTCGGTGACATAAAAATTACCCTTGTTTTTTCTTTGCACCTTTATTTGATTGTGTGCATATTGCATTAAAGTTTTCAAGAAATTTCCTACTTACTTCTACCAATGTACATATTTATTAAAGGGAAGTGCGATATGACCAGAAAATTTGATCAGAATTTTAAAAAAACTATAAAAAAATTTTATTTTAAAACAAACTAATCTTTTTTCTATTTTTTAGTTAAAATGTATTAAAGTTAAAAGGGTAAAAATGTTTAAAAAGGTAAAATAACATAAATAAAATATCATTCTGGCCAAATTTTCTGGCCAAAAAGAGTTTTCCTTTATTAAAATATGCTTTTTTGACCGGTTATTTATCTTCAATACAATAAAGTCTACTCTCCTTGTTTGGTTAGTCACAAAGAAATTGCTTGGACATTACCTTACAGTTTCAAATAAACAAGGCCCACAACTTGTTAGGTAGAGTTTCATTTTATGTCGTTCTATTTAGATTATTCTTATTAATTTAATTTATTTTCGGTTGACAAATGTTTTGATCCTAATGTGAATTTTAATGGATATCAATAAAATCGGTATGATGTTTCAAGTTAAAATTTAATTCTCTCACATAATCTCGATAGAATGAATATTAATGCAAGACTTTAAGGAGTGTTAAAATAGCTCGGGGCTTCTCAAACACACATTTCCAAAGGGTTGCTTTACTTGACGATCAATAAAGATGAAATTATTAGATCTCTTATTTACTTACCATTTTATATTCAACATGCAAAGTTTAAAAAATTAAAACTTGTTCACATCCTTTAACTCACCATGGTTAATGATGGCTCAGCACAAACGGAGACAAGATGGAGGATCAATTTGGTGAGCTCCTGCCAATAGGAGAAAGAAGAAGGAAAATAAAAATTTATTGGTTATGAAAGAAGACTCTGTAGCTAACAGAAGGAGATAATTACATAAAAAGAGAGAGAGAACACAATTTCACTACCAAAATCAAGAGTTAGGGCTTGTCAACCTCTGTGATTTTTTCTTCTTTGTTACTAAATTATGAATACTTTTCAGAGCCACATGACAATCTTCATGCAGTGTATATAATTCTGGTGGAAGTTCTGGTAGCTGTGTTAGTCTCCTGCACTCTGATAAGTCCAAGTATCGAAGAGCACCAAGTTGGGCTATGCTTGGAAGAGCTACAAGGTTTATACAATGAGACAAATTTAACTTGATGAGTTTTCTGGAACATCCCAGGGAATGGTAAACCTCTTTAAGACACGTACATCCACTCATATTCAAATTCTCCAAATTTGGCATCTCCGTGAAATCTGGTGTTTCCATCAAGCTATTAGAGCCCCTAAGATCTAGCCTTCGTAGAGACGGCAAAGGTATCTATTAAGAAAACATAAAGAAATTGTTTAATTTACTCCTTTAGATTATGAGAGTCAACAAATGATTTGCATCTTCTCAAATTCCTGGAGGTTTCACCCTTGGAATAATGATCCGTTTCTTATAGTTATTAGGAGTTATTTGGCAGTTCCTTATGGTTACTAGAAGTTATCTATGCATATCCTTAATAGTTATGAAGTAGTTATAGTTATCAAAATTGTAAGACCAATCGGGTCCTTACTTGATATAATAAAATTCAAGTTGTGAGAAATCGATTGTGCCCATCTCCACTATTAATATTCAACACTAAACTCCATTACTTGGGCTAAAAAATCTATTTTACTAAAAGTAAAGGAATTTTATATACATATTTTTCTAAAAAAGAGAAGGTATATGATAGAAACCGGGGTTTTTTACTGGATAAAAGCTACATAAAATACAAAGAGAGAAACAAGTATCTCGTACCTCGTAGAAAATACAAAGAGAGACAAGTATCTCATATCTCTTAAAACAACCTTTTCTGCATATAAAAGATATATTACCACATGTCTAGTTTTTTTGCTTATTTAGTTGGTTACAACTCAAATGAACCACCTCAATTTATAGGTGGTGATAGATGAATCTAGCTAAGTTTAATTTCAGATGTAATGTATGAAATCTATTATAGTAATAATATTCAACAATCCAAAATAATATAAAATACATGAATTTGAGTTCATGGAATTAATAACTTATAATTTCATTTAAAAACAAGAATCATATATAATTCTAGGACAATTAAAAATAGAAAGTATCTCGGATAAAACGGTACCTTTGTTTCATTCCATAAATAATGCAACGAACTCCCCAGAGATCAAGATGAACAAGGCTTCTGGGATTAAAATTTTCTGGCAATACCTTCCAAGGATAGCAATGCCAGACAAACCAACACAAGTTGTTGGAAAGGTACTCAATAGAGCCATCTTCTGAATCACTTTGGTAATCCCATGAATAACTTTGTATGCATAATATCCAAAGCCTTTGCATACTTTTTATTCAGTCTTAGCTAAAACTTAGTTTTTTAAAATAAGTAAACCAGATTGCTTCCACTGTCATGGTCCCCTAGTAAAAAGATAATGAATCAACATGTCATGTGTACAATCCACTTATCAATATCATTGTTTTCATACTCTACCCCCAAATGCAAATTTTTGTATTGCACTTGAAGAGCCAGCATCATCAAACAAATTTAAGGTACAAATATTAGTTAAGAAATATGTCCCTTAAGAGAAATGCTTTGCGTAATTAATTTTTATTTTTATTTTTTAATGGTACATTTTTTGAGAAGTTTACTAGACTCAAGTTAAAAGTTTTTCATGCTATGATAAAACAAAATGGTAACTGAAACAGTGCCAATAATTGTCATCTTTTAAATGAAAAATTAATCAATGATCAAGTGAATTAGTACAGTAAGTTTTGGCCCTCCTAAATTTTATTTTTTCATTTGCGAATTTTTACTAATAAAAATTACTTAGGGTAAATAAATGGGCACTATTAGCTTTTAAAAAATAATTGATTAAATTAGTACATACAAAATATCATATAAATTTCAAGTTAATTCAAAGAGTGATATTAGATTATCATATCATTTCATATCATATTATATTATAAGTGGGAAGAACTCAAATCAAAAGTTGAATTACCGTTTTACTCTTTAAAAGAAGCAATTATTTGCTCTATATTAATAATATTGCGGTAAAAAAACTCATAATTATGATTTAAGTCAATAGACTCTTCCTTTTCTCGAGGCACGATACTTCTTCAATTGCTTCTTCATCTCTTGTTTGTGGGCAAACTGATGAAGATCAAAGGTCAAACAATTAAGTTGAAAATTGATGGGTCTTTTTAATTTTTGGCTAAAAATTAATCTTTAATAATATGATTCTTTTCATCTTCCCTTACCTAAGGTCCCTTATTTAAGTCACCCAAAGAGCAATTGAATTTGCAAATCCCATTGAATCTAACTCCGGCTTCATCCTTCCAAGAATTTCTGGAAATTTCTCTAAACTAGAGCAGTTGTGTAGATTCAGAAATTCAAGAGATTCCACATTAACATATGGAAACCTCTCAAGTCTTTCACAATAAGACAAATTTAACTGAATGAGTTTTGTGGAACATATCAGCGAATCGTGAACCTCTTCAAGACTCGTATATCCATAAAGATTCAAATACTCCAAATTTGGCATCCCCTCAAAATCTGGTGTTCTCTTCTGGCTTTTAGAGCCACTTAGATCTATCCATCGTAGAGACTGAAATTGCTGCTATTCAAAACACAGAAAGAATGAGTTGATGAAATTAATAACTTATTTCATTTAAAAACAAGAATCATATATAATTCTAGGACAAGACAAAATAGAAAGTATCTCAAATAAACCGGTACCTTTGTTTCATTGCATAAATGATGCAGTGAACTCCCCCGGAGATCAAGATGAACAAGCTTTTGGGGATTAAAATATTTTGGCAATAACTTCCAAGGATAGCAATGCCACACACGTTGTTGGGCAGGTACTCAATAGAGCCATTGGGAGTATCTTCTAAATCCCTTTGAGAAGCCCATGGATAATATGACATGCATAATATCCTAAGCCTTTGCATATTTTGCATTGCCTCTTTGCTAAAGAATAGTTTTTCAGAATATGTTAACCAAATTGCTTCCACTGTCATGGTCCCCTATAAAAAGATCGATAATGAGTCAACAAATCATAACTTCACATGTAATGTACAATTCACTTATCAATATCATTATTTTCTTACTCTACCCCCAAATGTTACTTTTTGTCATGTTTTATATTATTTATTATTGGCTTATTGCACTTGAAGTTATTGAAGAGCTAGCACCATTAAACAAAAATTAAGGTACACAAAAATTAAGGTACAAATATTAGTTAACTATGATTTAAGTCAATAGACTCTTCCTTTTCTCGAGGCACAATACTTCTTCAATTGCTTCTTCATCTCTTGTTTGTGAGCAAACTGATGAAGATCAAAGGTCAAACAATTAAGTTGGAAATTGATGGGTCTTTTTAATTTTTGTCTAAAAAATCTTTAATAATTTCATTCTTTTCATCTTCCCTTATCTAAGGTCCCTTATTTAAGTCACCCAAAGACCGTACTCAAATATGGCGGTGAAACCGTACAAGCATTTGATGGTTGGTCCACAAGATCTTCCTATAGATTACTATGGCTTCATAGTCGTCATCTTCGGCGTCTTTGGTGCCATGTTATCATATACATGATTTGCTTGTGGCTTGTTATTATATTCAGTGTGCAATCCCTTGCTAACATAAGGAATATGGAAAATGATCTTAAGCAAATCTCAATGGCCATGATGTTTGGTATCATGGGTCTCATGACAAACTACTTGGGTGTTAGTCTCCGAGCAAGCAAGACAACTTGATGGAATTGTTTCAGGCACAAAACTCATTTATAAGAACGTGTGGATGTCGTCCCAAAGTATTTGCATTCTTTTGATGATTCTTAGCTAAATGAAGTGGTAGAAAAGGTTTTTTGTTTTTATAGTTTGAGCTCTTTTTACAAGGCTATTCTGTCCCAAGTTCTAATGGCTCTAATCTTAGCAAACATTGTCAAAATTATTATTGTGGTGATATAACATTTTGTTAGTGAATTAAGGTTTCTATATCTTAACTAATATATAGATATAGAAACGTTGGCTAGTAACATAGGCTAATATATAGTCCCTCAAATGTGCCAGATCCATAGGCTAATAATACACACGAAAAACCAGGTAAGTTGGGTAATTCTTAAAAGTTGACTCGTAAATGCGAAAATATGTGTGAAAGAAATGGCGGGACTCTATGTAATGCTTCCCCAACTCATAACGGAGGTCCTCATATAGCTTTTTTAGAAAAAAAAATTTGGGTACCCCAAAAGCACTAGATCCATGGGTACAATACACACAAAAATCAAGAAAGTCGGGAAAATCCTAAATGTTGACTCTTAAATGAGAAAATATATGTGAAAAAATTGCGGGACTATATGTAATGCTTTCCTAACTCATTATGGAGGTCCGCATATATTTTTTTTGGAAAAAAAAAATTGAATGCCCCAAAGGTACCAGAACCATGGGCTTATACACACCAAAAATGGTTAAAGTTGGGTAATTCCTTAAAGTTGATTCGTAAATGCAAAAATATGCTTGTAAAAATGGCGGGACTATACGTAATGTTTCCCCAACTCATTACGGAGGTCCTCATATAGTTTTTTAAGAAGAAAATTTCAAGCGCCCCAAAGGCGCCAGATCTATGGGCTAATACACATGAAAAATGGTAAAAGTTGGGTAATTTCAAAAATTTGCTCGTAAATGTTAAAATATGTGTGAAAAAAATGGCGGGACCATACATAATGCTTCCCAACTCATTATGGAGGTCCTCGTATAGTTTTCTCAGCAGATTTTTTGGGTGCTCCAAAGCCATCATATCCATGGGCTAATACAAACAAAAAGGGCAAAAATTGGGTAATTCCTAAAAGTTGGCTCGTAAATATAAAAATATGCGTGTAAAAATGGCGGGACTATATGTAATGCTTTCCCAACTCATTACGGAGGTCTTCATATAGTATTTTTAGAAAAAAACTTTTGGGTTCCCCAAAGGCGCCAGATCCATTGGCTAATACACACAAAAAATGACGAAAGTTGGGTAATTCCTAAAAGTTCGCTCAATATGAAAATATGCGGAAAAAATGCTAGGACTTTACGTAATTCTTTCTCAACTAATTATAGAGGTCCTCATGTAGTTTTTTCAGAAAAGAATTTTAGGTTCCCCAAAGGCGCCACTTCCATGGGCATTAACACACGAAAAATCAAAAAATATGCGTGAAAAAATTGGCGGGACTATACGCAATGCTTCCCAAACTCATTACGAAGGTCCTCATATAATTTTTTCAGAAAACTTTTTTGGGTACCCAAAAGGCGACAAATCCATGAGTTAATACACATGAAAAATCAAGAAAGTCGGGTAATTCCTAAAAATTGACTCCTAAATCTGAAAATATGCGTGAAAAATCTACGGGATTATACATAATGTTTTCCCAACTCATTCGGAGGTCCTCATATAGGTTCTTTAGGGGAAAAAATTGGGTACTCCAAAGGCGTCAGATCCATGGGTTAATACACTCGAAAAACCAAGAAAGTCTGCTAATTCCTAAAAGTTGGCTCATAAATGCAAAAATATGCGTGAAATAAACGGCGGGACTACACATAATGCTTCTCCAACTTATTACGGAGGTCTTCATATCGTTTTTTCCGGAAAAAAAATCGGGTGCCCTAAAGGCGCCAAATCTGTAGGCTAATACACACGAAAAACCAAGAAAGTCGGGTAATTCCTAAAAGTTGGCTCTCAAAGTTGAGTTTTTTCTATATTTTTTCAAAATCTTTTATGATTCCATACAATCTTATTAACACATTTCATTGAAACCAAGTTCTACTAAGCATGCCACTACTAAACATAGTTTAAAATAGGGAAAATGCATAAGTAAACCCCCCCCCCCCCAAAATCTATGCCCGAAATCCCAGAGACACACTTATACTATACTAAGGTCCTATACACTCCATTTTTCGACTTTCATGGACCTCATTATAAGATTTCACTTAATACATTATACTATTAAAAAGATAAAGAATATTTTAAAAACTCGTAAACTTCAATTTCTGGAAAAAAAAAAGTGTGAAGCCTTTTTTTTTTTTAAACAAAAGTCCTACAAAGTAGGACTAAAGAACATTCTACACCTATCGACCACAAAAAAGAAGTCAAAATCCAATTTGTTCAAGTAAGTCATTAGTTGTTACACCTCATCGATAACGTCACATATTTTTCACTCAAAATCCTATAAATATGGATCATAACATAAGCACTTTTGTATCATCCATATTTTTCTACATTCTTCTCTATTATAATTTATACTATATATTCACTTACATAAATATTTTTATTTTCAAACCAAAAAAATGGCAAAATCATATGAAAATGAACATCCAATTAAGGCATTTGGATGGGCAACTAGAGACACTTCTGGAGTTCTTTCTGCTTTCAACTTTTCAAGAAGGTACAAATTATTACTTTTAATTTTGATGATGTGTTTTTCATTTCTATCGGAAACAAACTCTCTATAAGGTAAGATAGGGTAAAATCTGCGTACATATGCTATAATAAAAATGGTTTTTAGTAGCAATAAATATGTCAATTAACAAAGAGTGTTGAAATTTTTATCAGTATTTGTTATTGGATCCAATGTTGTTATAGGCTCTGACGACATTCACAAAGTGTCAAAATGTAATTATCACTCGCAACTGCCTCTAAAAGATCATTTTTTGCTTGAGACACTAGGTTTCTCGGACCCCACCTGTATGATTATACTGAATTTGTTGTTGTTTTATTGTAAATTTGATGATGATCATTTTGTGTTAATGGGTGCAGAGTGACAGGTGAAAAAGATGTGCAATTTAAAGTTATGTATTGTGGAATTTGTCATTCTGATCTTCATCAACTCAAGAATGAATGGGGAAATAGCAAGTACCCGATGGTGCCTGACTGCCTGGGTAAATTAATCTGTTCTTGTCAATTTTCTTTTATTGTTAGATCCAAAATTATTAACCAGAATTTTCACTAACGAGATTCAAAAATATTAAGGCACAAAGAAGCTAACGGAATTTAACATTCACTATATATATAAACATAAACAATTTTTCGGCGAAGAACATTTGCTAGCTAGTTTTCTTGTTCTCTGTATCTTTTCAATTTTTCACATTATATTTTTGATTTGAAAGCAATCCTGATTTGGTTCTTAGTCTATAATTGGCCATTTTGAGCTCTTGATACCTCAGTAAATCCTGAGTTGTTGGCACATGTTACTCCCTCCGTCCATTTTATAAGAGTTAGTTTGACTCGATACGGAGTTTAAGAAAGAAAAAAGGATTTTTAAAACTTGTAGTCTAAAATGAATGATAGAAATTATTGTGGCTATAAATCATTTTATAAAGGGTAAAATAGACATTTTAAAGTTAAATGTGACATTCTATTTGGGATGGCCTAAAAAGGAAAGTAAGTCATATAAACTGAGACAGAGGGAGTAAAAATGAGCGGTATTTGTGTCGATCCGATCTACTTGTGAGTGTAACTAATTGTAAATATAATTGCGGTTGTTGGTGTTGTAACTGAGGTTGAAAGCAAGGTGGAGAAATTTAAGGTTGGAGACAAAGTAGGTGTTGGATGTATGGTAGGATCATGTCGAAAATATGAGAATTGTAGCGTTGATCTCGAAAATTACTGTCCTCGTCAGATTCCTACATACAGCGGCTATAGCTTAGACGGAACCCTCACGTTTGGACGTTACTCCGACATGATGGTATCCGATGAGCATTTTGTAGTATGGTGGCGTGAAAACTTGTCGATGGATGTTGCTCCCCTGTTATGTGCTGGAATTACTACTTATAGTCCTTTGAAATATTTTGGACTCGATAAGCCTGGAATGCACATTGGTGTTGTTGGTCTTGGAGGGCTCGGACATATGGCTGTTATGTTCGCTAAGACATTCAGAATCAAAGTGACTGTCATTAGTACATCTGCTAATAAGAAGCAAGAAGCAATTGAGCGTTTGGGCACAGAATCTTTCTTGATCAGTCGCGATCCTGAGCAGATGAAGGTGAATATAATAACTCGTTATCATTGAACAATGTGATCATATTATCTGAAAGTTTAAACTGTTTGAGAGAGCACCCTTTATTTAATTAATTGTGTCTTCAACACACTGCTGCCTGATTCTTTTCACGAGTCAAGCATGTGATTTTTTTTTTGACAATGGTGGTGTTGAGGTTTGTAAACTCACGACCTCCACTTACTATGGTTCCATGTTGAAGTGTGTGATAATCTTATCTAAAAGCTTAAGTTATTATGCCAGTTTAACAATTTAAACACAAGAATGGGGGCTAACCTTTTTGTTTATTTGTATTGTTTATATACGAACAGGATGCAATGAACACATTGGATGGGATTATCGACATTGTTTCGGCAGTGCACCCTATTCTTCCATTACTTATGTTGATGAAATCTCATGGTAAGCTTGTTATGGTTGGTTCACCAGAAAAACCGGTGGAGTTACCCGTGTTTCCACTACGTATGGGTAAGCATCGGACAATAATTTCTTATGCACGATTTCAATGATAAAGTTTAGATTAAAGTATATATAATGTGGCCCTTACCACACATAGCGAAAGCTTAGTGCATCAGACAGTCTTTACTAAAGGTTGTATATATAATAATGTGGAAAACAGGAAGGAAGCTAGTGGCTGGAAGTTGCATAGGAGGGATGAAAGAGACTCAAGAAATGTTGGATTTTGCGGCAAAGCATAACATAACACCAGATATTGAAGTCGTGCCAATGGACTATGTGAACACAGCGTTGGAACGTCTTCTGAAATCGGATGTGAAATATCGTTTCGTGCTCGACATTGGCAATACATTGAACAAGAAATGAGGATAGGGAGGGGTCCAATTATATAGTAGTGTTTCTTTGCTAATTAGATTATATTAATTTCAGAGATGATTAATAAAATGTGTTTCCTGCACTTATTAAAATAGAACTTGATGGTTGGGGAGAAATTATTTGAGCTCCACTGGATTCCAAAGCTTCTGCAATTTATGTATTTGTCAGGAAATGGAAAATGTGATTATATTTTGAAATGAAATATAAAAAGAATGAATTTTTGCCAACCCAAATTGTACGTACATGTTCCCTTCTTAGGCAGTGTCCCCAAACTCGCTGCTGATTACTGATACGTACATCACCTATTGCCAATAGAAGAAAGAATGAGAAGAAATAATTTATATATAAACAGAGAACACAATTTCATGAATTATATACCTAACTATAGTTAATCTATAAACTGGGGCTTGTGGGAAAGAGCTGCAAGAGTTGCCTTTGTTTCTTAGAAGAGGAGCAAGTGGCCTCTTCTTCATATCTGCTCTTCCTTATCCCAATGTGAAGCTCAGCTTCATCTTTATAAAACAAACGAACTCCATATTTACCTATTTCTCTATTAAAATATAACCTAATGCACCCATAGTCATTTGGTGTTTTTCCATTTGCATTAGATGCATCCCATAAGCCACCAAGAGGTATCAAGAAAAAAGAAATACCATGATGTGGATTGTTGGATAAGGCAAATTGCTGGGTCATCGACGACATCCCATCATCACATGATAAGGGAATCAAATGAGCTGTGATGCAATAAATTGGTTTGCCAGAGTAACATACAGCAAATCCCAAGAAGTTATCACTTGCATACCAATTCTTATGCAAATTTACTGATACACTTGTGCCCATTCCCTGATAGTCGAACCAACTTGGGATATCCTCCTTCCAACACCATAACGCTCTTAGTGAAAAGGAATGTGAAGAACAAATGTCATGCTGCAATGATGAGATATTCTGAAACAACGAATTACAGATCACATCATTGCTCCAATCTGCATATATTGTATGTAATTGCTGTGGAAATTCTGGCAGCTGTGTAAGCTTCTTGCAATCTGATAAGTCTAAGGATAGAAGAGCACCAAGTTCGGATATGCTTTGAGGCAAATGCTCAAAATTATTTCCCTTGAGATCCAACTCTTCCAAAGAGGATAAACATCCAATGTCTTCTGGCAGCTGTGTAAGTCTCTTGCAATGTGACAAGTGCAAGTATTCAAGAGCACCAAGTTTGGATATGCTTTGAGGCAAATGCTCAAAATTATTTCCCTTGAGATACAACACTTTCAAAGAGGATAAACATCCAATGTCTTCTGGCAGCTGTGTAAGTCTCTTGCAATGTGACAAGTGCAAGTATTCAAGAGCACCAAGTTTGGATATGCTTTGAGGCAAATGCTCAAAATTATTTCCGTTGAGCCTCAAATCTTTCAAAGAGGATAAACATCCAATGTCTTCTGGCAGCTGTGTAAGTCTCTTGCAATCTGATAAGTTCAAGTATTCAAGAGCACCAAGTTCGGATATGCTTTGAGGCAAATGCTCAAATTTATTTCCACAGAGATACAACTCTTTCAAAGAGGATAAGGAGCCAATGTCTTCCGGAAGTCCTTCATCTATTATATTGCAGTAGCTGAGAGCCAGTATTTCCAATGAGAGTAACCCTTCATTCACCTGAGGGAACACGAAGTTCACTGTATCTTCTGGATTTTCTTTTACAAAACTCAATGATTTAAGCTTGTTCAACCAGATGATGGAAGACGGAGGACGTGAGATTAGAGTATAGTTGGCATCAAGCTCCTCCAATTTTTCTAAATCACCAATCCCTTCTGGCAAGCTTTCAAGTTTTGAGCAGTATGACACATCCAGAGTCACCAAACCTTTCAACTGACAAATGTTGCTTGGAAGAGATACAAGATTTTCCATGCCATTCAAAGATAATGGCAGTTCCCTTATTCCAAGGATTTCTGGAAATTTCTCTAAACTAGAGCAGTACTGTAGATGCAAAGATTCAAGAGATTCCACATTAACATATGGAAACCTCTCAAGGCTTTCACACTTAAGCAAATTTAACTCAAGGAGTTTTCTGCAATACTTGAGGGAAGGATGAACTTCTTCAAGACTCGTACATTCCTGTAGATTCAAATACTCTAAATTTGGCATCCCCTTGAAATCTGGCGTTCTCTTCAGCCTTTTAGAGCCACTTAGATCTATCCTTCGTAGAGACGGAAATTGCTGCAGCAATTCAAAACACAGAAAGAATGATGAAAAATGAGTAAAGTAGTAAACGACATGTTTATATTATAACTCAACATGTGAAATGAGAAATTGTTTATTTTACTTTATATGGAAACTAGTAAAATTTCTTTAATAACATAAAATTTATAAAATAATACTTAAAGCTATTAGTAATTAAAACTAAAACATTTTATTCTCTTACATACAAAATTACGTAGTAACAAACATTAAATAATGTAAAGGGAAATGAAAATTATTACATCTTAACATTTATCCTTAATAACATAAGCATAAATTAATGACAGTAAAAGTACATACCAGGATCTGTAATATAAGCAATGATGTCAGTGACCCACTCAACAGGAGCAAAGTACACAAATATTTAATTGTGAAGAAGAAGAAGAGTTTCAGAATTTTCGTTGTTTTAAAATGAGAAGAAATCCCTCTATTTATAGATAACAAAGAGTTGTGTGAATAAATGTTTATTGTGCCTTATCGTAAAGGTTACAATTATTTGGAAAAGTTGCAACCCTTCGGAAAGGGCACAACCTTTCATGAAAGTCACAACTTTTTACAAAAGTCGCAACTCATCATTAAAGTCTCAACTTTTCATAAAAGTCACAACTTTTCATAAATGTCGCAACTTTTCATGAAAGGGGAAGGATATTTTTGGAAATAAATAAATTAAAAGGGAATTCTAGTTTGTGGTAGCGCCACGTAGGCGGGCTTAAGGTTCTCATATATCTTCACAATTAAATAATATATATATATATATATATATAAAGTGGGAAGAATTTAAGTCAAAAGTTGAATTACGAAAATATCCTTTAGGTATTAATTTATTTTATTGAAATTATTTAAAATATTATTTTTCATTTAATATTTATTTTGGAATTCAATGAATTTTGATTGTTCGTATTATTGTAGTTAATACTCCTATTTCCAAGACTTACAATTCAATACACATTATTAAATTGCAAGTAATTATTAGCAAGAAAAAATCAATAATATTTACATCTTTCACGTAGTAACAGTGATGATTTTTCATAATCATAGTTACTATGAATTTTTTAATAATTAGTCATAATGATTTTCCATTACACATTGAATATATTTGAATTCTTTTACATATTTTATACTTAGATTACAGTTTTATTTCTACATTACATTTAAATGCTATAAATTGTTTGATAAATTAAATAGTAAATAGTAAATCATCATATTAATATACATAAATTACCACTAACTCATCATTATGTAAATGTATGTAACACCCACTAATTATATTCATTATGTTTTTTACTCTCATCTCTCATCGATAATCTCAAATGGATCAATAATATATTTATGACAACTCTTTGTGTTCCTCAATGCTATCCTATAAATAGTGACATTTGACACAATAATGTACCCACTTAAATCAATTGAAAAAAATATGAGAAAATCTCTATGCTCTCTTCTCTTGTCTCTTTTTATTTGTTTAGTTTAACCTTTATGTTTAATGTTTGTTGTTATTGTACAACTTTCTATTGTTGTGTTGTTATTATTATTGAGAATTTACCATGGTTTATTGCTTTGTATATATTAGTCTATCATGTGGTATTTTAGTATCCTCATTTGAATTTGAATTTGTGCAATAGTTAGTTATTTCACTTTATGCACTTTTAGTCAATTTTATAGTTAAAAGTATTTTTTTAATTAGGAAGATATATGTAGTTCCTATCGAAACAATGATGAATTTTGCAATACAAAATTTATATGAAGTATTTTGGGATAAACATGCAATGCACGTTCTTAGATCTCATCATCATCATATTACTATAAGTGGGAACAAAAAAAGTTAAAAGTTGAATTACGATTTTATCCCTATTATAAATTAAAATGTTATAAAAACATTTAATTATTTAATTTTAAATAGTATAATTTTAATTAAAATGTTAATGACTTTTGCACTTCCTTAAATTAACTCCTCATTAAAATATCTAATTTAATAATATTTATCATTTATAATCTATATGTATATTTAATTTAATCTTTTATAATCTATATGTATATTTAATTTAATCATCATATATATAAACAAAAAGAGTTAAAAGGTGAATTGTGATTTTATCCCTACTATAAATTAAAATGTTATAAAAACATTTAATTATTTAATTTAAATATTAAATTGTATCATTTTAATAAAAATGTTAATGATTTTTTCACTTCCTTAGATTAATTCCTAATTAAAAAATCTAATTTAATAATATTTATTATCTATAATCTATATGTATATTTAATTTAATCATCATATCATATCATCATAATATATATATCCTTCATTATATTAAAAGGTTATAAATTATTTAATTAATTAAATAGTAAAAATAAAATTATAACATTCACCCAATGCTTAATAACATGTTTCAGGTTCAAAACAAAATTCTACATGCTTAGATAAACAAAACGTCAAAACATATCTAATTCTTCGCTACGTTAATTTAAAAACAACGAACATTTAAAGGAGACTACTTTTAAATGTTGTCATACTAAATGTTAATAATAGCTAAAATAATGATAGGAAATAATAATTTCTCTCATTTTACAAGCTTTCCAAAATTAGTTTCTACATTTCCAGAGTGATTATAAATAATTAAAAATAAATAATAGGTATATAATTTAATAAAATAATTACTCTGAAAACTTGCAGTAGCTTATGACTTTATATGATTTTCTATAGCACTAATATTATAAGTTCAAAATATAGCATGTCGCAAATTGAAAGAAATAACAAAAGCTAGAATTAGAAAGAGTGATTTTTGAAAATAATAAAAATCTGGAAAAATGGTTAAGTTTGAGTTTTTGGTCAACTTCAAATGACGATAACTCCTAGCTCAGAATGAGTTATGTGCGTTTCCACATATCGTAGGAAAGATCTTGGAATAATCTTTCCAACGCCACCGAGTTTGCGCAATTCCGAGTTCGTATGAGTGAGATATGCCCATTGAAAGTTGGGTTGTTTGGATAAGGAAAGTCTAATCCGGATTTTAGAAGGACATTATGGTCTTTTCACCACCCAATTAATCAATTTCATTTTTGGTAATTAAGGCCTCATTTGTTTGCACTTAATGGAGGTCTGAATCTTAATCATTCAGATTCAGTCCATTAAGTGTGTTTGGTTTTTAGGTCCGAATCTTAATGATTCAGATTCAGCTCATTAAGTCCATTTGTTTCTTTTTTCAAAAAGTCTCTTAATGGACCTGAAAAGGTTTGAACGGATTAGGTCTGCAGGAGAGTCTTAACACCATTAAGACTTATTCAATAAGTTATTAAATAATACGGTATCGCCTCTCTCGATCTTTGTGTGACTTTTTACTTTTGCTCTCACAACTACAAACTTTCTTCCTCTCTTTTCTCAATCAAACACCATTTTTTTCCTCTTGAACTGATAAGTTTTCATAATCTTTACAAGTATCTTTTTTATATTAATAATTTTCTTAGGGTGTCTTGATGTTGGTCGAGAACACTTGTTGCAATAATATTTTTAGTGTATTGATGTTCATCAAGATTTTTGAGTGAAAAAAATATTATTCGTAATTAAAAATAATAACTATGTATACATATTTGAGATCTCTTATTAGAATTTAGTCTTAGGCCAATAATTTTATTGAGACTCTTTGATCATCAAATCCGTTTGTGAGATAATACTAATAC